GAACTTGGTTCCTTGCGCTTGCGCAGCAGGCGGCAAAACCACTGAGCTAAATCCCCGGCCCAGGGAAACAGGTTTTTAAAGAGATGGTTGATTACTGAAGAAGAAAAACTACTAGTAGTTCAGTAGTAATAGAGATTCTTCTGCAGAGACTGGACTCTTGGGGGAGAGAGAACATGAATAAACTGAAGGAGAGTGAAGCCAAGGTTTCTGAACACCTTTGCAGCCTCCGAGAGCTCACCACAGAGCTGGAGAAGCAGTGTGGGCATCCTGCCGCAGCCTTGCTCCAGGTGAGACTGAAAAAGCCTTGTTAGTGTTTGAGAAATGAGAAGTGGACAGCTCTCATAGGGGTCACTTACAGAACACAGTATCCAGTGATCTTCTCCAGTTTTTGGTTGCCAAAAGCATTCTGCACTCTCTTTGTGATAAATTAGTGCAGCCATTATGAAAACAGTATGGAGTTTTCTCAAAGAATTCAAAATACAACTATCCGGTGATCCAACATTCCATTTCCGGGTATATTTACAGAGGAAATTATAATCAGCATATCAAAGTGACATGTGCACTTCCAGGTTTATTGCAGCACCCTTCACAACAGCCAAGAAACCGAACAGCCTAAGTGTCCATCAGTTGATGAGAAGATAAATACAATGTGTTTCGTATACTGGATGGGGTAATGGGATCTCTTCAGCCATGAAAAAAGATGAAATTCTGTCATTTAGAACAATCTGAGTAGAACTAGAGAGCATAATATTAAGTGTACTAAGTCAGGGACAGGAAGGTAAGAAGCACATGTCTCACTCATGTGGATAATATAAAAAGGTTGGCTTCAGAGGGTGAGAATAGAGGCCAAAAGCTAGCGAAAATAAGGAGTGAAAAGGGATGAAAAGAGCTTAATCAGTGGGTACAAAGTTACAGAAAGAGAAGACTGAGAAGTTCTGATGTGCAATGCCATAGCATGGCGATTATAGATAACAGTAATATACTATGTACTGTATTTCAGAAAGGTATGAGAAAGGATTTTGAATGTTTTTACCATGAGAAAATTTTTAAAAAATTTTTTTTGAGACAGAATCATCTGGCCCCAAACTTGAATTCATAATTTTCTTTCCTCATCTTGCAGAGCAGCTGGGATTACAGGCATTTGCCATCATAAATTTTCAAGGAAATACATACATTTATCCTGATTTAAATATTACACATTCTATACATGTATTAAAACATCATGATGCCTTATATAAAATGTTTGTTTTTTTAACATATCTGTTAAAAACTTTTAAATTTAAAAAACATTTTGGATTGTTATAAAATCATGGTATAGTGCTTAGCTGCTTCACAATAAAAATTCTCACCTTAAAATTATTAACAATAATTTGAATTGATATTCAATAGGATGAATAATTCATTAAAGTATGATGCATCTGGACTATCATTTCTACAACTATAAAAAAAAAAAGCACCTCTATAGGCACTGAAATAGTATCCTCAAGATATTATTAAGTGAAAAAGAATTTAGAACTGCTTTTTGTTTGGTTTTTGGAGAGTAAGTATATATGTATGCGCAATATATGTACTTGTTAATGTTCACAGACTTTGGGAAAAAATCCCGTATACCTTGGTATTCTTGGGAAAGAAGAATGAGATTAGTTTGTGCAGTGTTTGCTATGGTCAGAATGTTTGTGTGCCCTCAAAATACATAGGTTACAATCTCACCCCCAAGGACCATGTATTAGGAGGTGGGTGTATTGGGTTCTGGGTGGAGCTCTCATGAATGGAATTAGTGGTCTTGTAACAGGGCCTGAGAAAGACTCCCTGCCCCTTTCACCATGCAAGTTTTGAGGGTGATAAAAGCTATTGATGGACTCTTATCAGACACCAAACCTGTCAGTATCTGCATCTCAAAATTTGCAGTCTTCTCACTGAAAGAAATGTATCTTTGTGATTTATCAGCTACCCAGTCTGATATTTTGTTATAGCAGGCTATACCTACTAAGTATTACATACCAAGTATTATATTTTATTCACTAATATACTTTGTATGTTCCAAAAATAAATTACTAGCTTTTAGACTCTGCTTGTATTCCTCTACCAGGTCCATATTTGCCATGAGTACATTCATTTGAAGAATCTTTGTAGGTATATGTGTATGCATGTATGCATGCATATATAAATCAATTTAAACTCTTTAAAAAATTTAATCCATTAAAAATAAAGGTTTAAAGGGCCGGGGATTTAGCTCAGTGGTTCTCCCGCCTGCCTCGCAAGCGCAAGGACCCGAGTTCGATCCCTGTATCAAAAATAAAAATAAATAAAGGTTTAAAATAACAAATTTAAAAATGTTTACATTTTTTATTGGTACATGTTTGTAGTACATAATGACTACATTCCTCCTAGACAGATGATACATGTACATAGCACATAGTAATTCTTTTTTTTAATCCCCTTCTCTCCCTTTTCTCCCCCCGCTTCTCTCCATCTCTTGATCCCTTTCACTTTCAAAAGACCTATCACCACATTTCCTGTTATCTTTTTTCACTGTTTATTTATAGTTTTGCTCTCTCATGTAAGAGAAACCATGCAATATTTAAGCTTTTGTGTGTGATTTATTTCACTTAACATTATGATCTCAAGATACATCTTGTTTTCCTAAAAATGACTCGTTTATTCTTCTTTATGCCAGAGTGGTACTCCACTGTATATAAATGCAATATTTTCTTTTTCCATTCATCTGTTAATGGACATAGTGGCTGCTTCCAACATTTAGCTATTATGAGTTGTTCTAATATACATGTGGGTATGGATATATCATTGTACTATGGTGTCTTTACCTCTTTCAGGAAGATACCTAGAAGGGGAATAGCTAGATCAAATGGAATTTCTACTTTTAGTTTTTTGAGGAATCTCAATACTGATTTCCATAGAGGCTTACATTCCTATCAACAGTGTAGATGGATTCCTTTTTCCCTGAAGCTGTGCTAGTTTTGTTATTTTTTGATTTCTTGATGATAGCCATTCTTTCTGAAGTAAAGTGCAATCTCAGCTTTGTTTTAATTTGCAGTTCGCTAATGCCAAAGATGTTCAACATTTTTATGTGTTTAGTGCCCATTTATACTTCTGAGAAGTTTCGATTCATTTCAGTTGCCCATTTTTTTTGCTTAAATTCTTTTATTGATACCTTTTAGGTATTCATTTACATTTATCTTTGGGTGGTTGTACCTGTACATGATGTATCTTGGTTCTTATTTTTTCCCCATTCCCTGTCCTCCCTTCACCCCCTCCATCCTTCCCTATTTACAAAGACTTTGTTTCCATTTTTTCTTTTTCTCATAATTTTTCCTTTCCCTTCTTTCCTTTCCCCTTCCCCTCCAAATTCCCCTACCCCTTTGGACCTTTTCTTCCTATTTCAAATTATCAATTATTCATTTTAATCATTTTAATCCTCATTTTTTGATTGATCTTTTATTTTTCAAGGTCTGATTTTTTTGTTTTTTTGTTTTTTTTTTTTTTGCAAAGTCTGATTTTTTATAAAATTCTTTACATGTTCTAGATATGAACTAGCTGGAGGAAAATAGTTTTCCCATTCTGTAAGTTGTTTCTTCACTCTGTTAGTTGTTTCCTTTGCTGTGCAAATTTTTAAAAATTTGATATGATCCCATTTATTGGTTCTTGGTACTATTTCTTATACAACTAAGGTTCTGTTCAGAAAGTCCTGGTCTACCTGTATGTCTGCAAGTGTTTTATCTATTTTATCTTCAAGCAGATTAAGTGTTTAACATTTAGATCTCTGATCCATTTTAAATTTAGTTTAGTACATGGTAAGAGGTGCTGGGCTAGATATAATCCTCTGCATGTGGATAGACAGTTTCCATAGCACTATTAAAAATACTGTCATTCCTCCACCATAAGTTTTGGCCCCTTTGTCAAAGACCAAATGGCTGGATATACCTGGGACTGCATCTCCCTCTATTCTGTTTCACTGATCGGTATCTGTTTTTGAGTCAGTACCATGCTGTTTTCTTTCTAGTTTTGCAGTACAAATTAAAATCAGGATTGTAATGGCTCCTGCTTTGCTCTTGTTGCCCAGTATTCCTTTTGCTATTCTGGATCTCTGATTATTCCATATGAATTTTAGGATTATTTTCTCTAGTTTTGGGAGGGATGCCATTGGTAATTTCATTGGGATTGCATTAAATCTATTTTACCAATTTTTTACCATTTTTGCTGAGTACAGCTGGCAGTAGAATTAGTATGACTATTTTGACAGGATTGGTTCTGCCTATCCAGGAACAGGATATCTTTTCATTTTCTGATGTCTCCTTTGAGCTTTTACAGAGTACTGTAGTTTTTGTGGTAGAAGTCTTTCAGTTCCATGGTTAAGTCAACTTCTAAATACTTAATTTTTCTTTATGCTGTTGTCAATGTTATTGTTTTTCTAATTTCATTCTCAGTAAATTTATCACTGGTGTATAGGGACGCCATTGATTTTTGTCTGTTGATTTTGTATCCTGATACATTGTTGAATATATTTATTCTGGGAGTCTTTGGGTGATTGTGTGTGTGTGTGTGTGTGTGTGTGTGTGTTTGTGTCTTACATAATGGATCATGTCATTTGCAACAATGAATTTCCTCAGCTTTCATTTTTCTGGAAATGTTTTCATCTCTCTTTTACTTTGAAAGAATAGCTTTGGTGGATACAGTTGGCAGTTTTTCCTTTAGAACATTGAATATTCATCATACTCTCCTGACTCTGGGATTTCTGCTGAGAAGTCCTCTTCCAGGCATAATGGAACATATTTATGCTATTTGATTCTTTTTTTCTTACTGCTTTCAGCATTCTCTTTTTCTTTGACCTTTGAGAATTTGATTAGAATAGGTTATGGAATTTTCTTATTTGGACTGTATTTTATAGGTGACCTTTGACCTTCTCATACCTGGATTTAAAATTTTTTCTCAATGCTTGAAAAATTTTGTTACTATTTCTTTGAATAACCTTTTTTATTTCTTTATAGTTCTCTAGTCCCTCTTTTATACAGAAGATTTAGGGATTATGGATTTTTTCTCTCATGACATCTCATGACATATTTTTGTTTCATTTTCTTCTGCCTGTGTTTCTGAGTGTCTTTGAACTCACTGATCTTTTCATTTGCTTAATCAGTTCTGTTGTTGATATTCTACTGAGTGTTTCATTTCATTCATAATATTTTTCACCTCCAAGATTACTGTTAGATTTTGTTTTTTATTTCAATCTTTCTGTTTAAAATTTTCAATAAATTGGGGGAATATTTCTCTTTGTTTTCTTGAAGTTCACTGAATTTTTTAAAAAATAACTACTTCAAATTCCTTTTCTGGAAAATTCTTCGTTTGTATGTTTTTAGGATCAGTTGCTGGCACAAAGTTTTTTCTATTCATTGAGGCCATATTTCCTTGATTATTATTTCGTGTAAACTTGTATCTCTGTCTGTACATTGACATAATTGATTCTTTTTCTTTACAATCTGGGCTTGTTAGTCAGTGTTCTATTTTTTGGTGACTTGTTTAAAAATCTACTGAACCTTTGGTTGTATTCTTTTTTAGCATTAGAAGGCACACAACTCAGATTGTTCATTTTGTAGTGTCCCGCCTGGAGGAGCTCTTGGGAGGCACAGAGAGGACCCCAATTTCCACAGTGTCACACACCTAAAGAGTTGGTCTAGTGTGGTGTCTTTCTGGCAAGGATGGAGCCACCAAGTTCTGTGCATTGGCAACTGTGTCCCTATCCCCTCTCTTCATCACTTTTAGGCTCACTGGATAACACTCCACGTGGGCTGCTCTAAGAGTTAGTCTCCTGAAAAAGACTTGGAAGGCTGGGAATACCAAATCTCCACCTCTGGTTCACTCTGCAGTGGAGAAATTTTGAGAACAGTGAAATTTTCTGCACTTGGTATGACAGGTGGCTTGTGGGGATGGATATTGTGGCTGCAGAGAATCATTCTCTATACCATCCAAACATGGTTCCACTCATCTTTGCTGTACAAAGGGATTCCACAGACTCACTTCCTGGTTTCCTTAGCTGTCATGTGAAGGTACTATTATGTATAGATTGTTGCTCAAAATGATATTTCTGTGGGGAATTCACACTAGGGAGCTCTACTCCATCATGTTGCTCTCTTTCAGTACTTCAGCTGAATTTGAAGGTTTTGTGGGTTGCTGGTCAGTTTGAAATTACTAAGTTTTAGTTTTAAACAATCATGTTATATTTTAGACAAAAGACAAAGTAAAAGTGGGCTTATCTGTGCACACATATTGTTTCTCAGTTAAGATGCTTACTTTGTTTTGAATTTGTGTGTATTTTATGGCAGGAAAGCCTGGGCTATGAATCTCCAATTAATAGAGATTAGCTCTTTAATCTTTCAGAGCTGAGGGTGTAGAGTGACACAGACTCCCAGTTACAGTGTAACAGTCCTACACATGAACAATATGAGTAAAAGAGTAGTCTAAATTTAATAAAACTCATCTTTGACTTAGGTCAATCCATGATTGACTTGTAGTCAGCTCTTTTGGTTATCTTTCTAGCAGAGGAAATAGAGAAAATCCCTAGCAGGTATCTCTGGAGATTTTATGATTTTATACACAATCACCTGTGTGCAACAAAATATTTGCATATATATTGAGGTAAAAATGACCTTTGATTGGAGAATAAAATAGAAGAAAACTGAATGAGAAGTTCTTAAATAGCATCAAGATGATTCAGGTAGTAAAATAAGAATACGTAAGAAAATGATCATTTGCATTAATACATTGTAAAATAGAAAAAAATGTATGAAATATAAGAAAGAATGTAGACTGTCCTACGAAATAGAAGTTTATCAAGTGATTTTGTAGAACTAAAACTTGTATATGATAAGAACTCTAGATGAATTGAACAGTATACTGGACAGATCAGATTACAGAATTACTTAATTGTAGTTAGTTGGGAAACAAGTCAATGGAAAAATTCTTACATTGAAGCACACAGAAAAAGCATAAAAATAAGGTAACAAATATACGGAACAAATATATAAGCTTTAACATTCTTAATATTGGAGTCACAGAGCAATAAGCAAATTGAATATAGGGAATGTTCTCAGAACTATTTGTTAGTAATTTTTTTTAAAGGGAGAGAATATTTCAACCCACTGCTTCAGAATGGGTCACATATTTCTCAGAGGCAGTAATAATTTTTCTCTTGTTTTATTCAGATTTTCATTTTATTTCCTGTGAGTTCAAACCTTCAGCTGGTCACTTGCACACAGTGCTTCATTTTGGGACTATGTCTTCCACATCAGGACATAACTTTATTGATAATTAGAGTATCTTTTGGTACAATCTATATTCTCATTTGTTGTAACTTTTTTGTGATATATATATATATATATATATACATACACACATACACACAAATTACTGCAAACACTTGATCAACAAGCTTATGATACAATAGGATGAATATTTACATTTTAAAATTAATTCAAAATGATAGTTTATAATAGCTAAAACTTTAAAATAAATTTAAATTTTTTAAATGAATAAAATAATTATTAAAAAGTTTCTGTAGATAAACCTGTAAGGAACAATTCAGTTCTAGAACCAAGTTTAGTTCTAAGCAATGCAAGAAGATATGACCCATTTGTACTCAGTTCCTGGCTCAGCTCCCTGCTGACCTAGGGGTCCCCTTCATCTGCTCAAGTCTCGCCATTCTCAGTACACAAAGCAAATAAATGAGCACCATTTTAAGGAATGTTTCTCTTAGGAATACAACAAAATTATACCAAGCATTTTTCATACTCAATGTTAAAATTTGATTTCTCAGAATAAGCTCTGTGAGACTGAAGAAGTTACATGGAAATCAAGTTCATCATTGCAAGAGAGGATATTTTCATATGCACAGCTTACAAAACATACTCAGAAGTAACTCTCTCTTTTTTTTTTTCTTCCTAGAATGCAAGATACTGTTTGGAAAGGTAAGTTTTCATTTTGACACAATTGAGCCAGAACCATGAGTCTGATGTGTGGAGTGCAGAGGTTATGGGTGTTGGGAGGGACGGGGAGGTTATATCTACTGAGCAAATGTAACAAGATTGGTCCTCTAGATGGCAGGCCCTGGGGCCTGTGCAGCCAGCTGAAATTGTCTTTTTTTCCCCTTTTTTTTTTAATAGAAATGAGTCACTACTTCTTCAGTCCCTAGTGCCTGCTCGTATCACACACCTGAGTTTATGTCAAATAAAAAGAATGACCAAAATGCTAACAGTTCACAGAAGTAAGTTGGCATACATCCGTGAGTACACAATACATTATTATTCTGTTTAAGAGTTAAGTTATCATGGGGAGTGGTGTCACAAGCCTGTAGTTCCAGCACTCAAAAGGCTGAAGCAGGAGGATCACCATGAATTCGAGGCCAGCCTGGACCACATAGTGAGTTCAAGGATATCCTGAACTACATAGTGAAATCCTGTCTTAAAAAAAATTATCATCTCCCATGAATGAAAATAAATTCTAGTAGTTTAAAGATTAGCAAGCATAATCTGCTATACTCATGCGATAACCGTATCAAGAAAATGTACAGATTTCTTACGTAAATTCTTTACCATCTTCCCAACTCTCAAACATAATTGCAGGCAGATTCTACTACTTAAATATTTTAAACTTCAGTGTAATATTGCACTATTTACAAAAAAAGATTGATATATCCTCTCCCTAATGTAGTTTTCCTTTTCCCAGAGTGTCCTATCAGTGGAGTCACAGAGTGTTGTAGAAATAGTATGTGGCCTTTGGAGTCTAGCTTCTTTCACTTAGCATAATTCAAGTGAGATACATCCAAGTTACTACGTGTATCAGCAGTTTGGCCCTTTTTATTGCTAATAATATTCCATTTTATAAATAGGCCATAATTTATTTATTCTTGCAGTTTCATTTGGGTTGTTTCCAAGAGTGTGCTGTTCATTTTTGCGTGCAGATATTTGTGTAAACATGACTTGGTAATTCTTGATTGACTAGGAGTAGGATTGCTAAACTTTTCTCCCAAACTACCTTTGCAATTTTTCGTGCTTATCAGTAATGCACGAGAGATTCAGTTACTCTACTTCCTCACCAGCATTTGGTACCATCAGTTTGTTTTATTAGATCAACCCTATAGATGGATAGTGGTATCTCACTTTCATTTTAATTTGTATTTCTGGGATGACTAATGATTGAATATATTTTCATGTGTTTATTATTTACTCTGTATATTTCTATTTTGGTGACATATATCCAAACCTTTACTCTATTTCTAAAATTGAATTTCATGTTTTTTCTTACTGAGTTTTGAGATTTCTTCATATTTTATGCTTATCAGTTGTTTTGCAGATATGTGTTTTGCAAGTATTTTCTCTTAGATTTATATTTTCATTTTTCCAATGAGGTCCTCTGAGGAACAGAAATTTTTTTTTTTTTTTGGTACCAGGGATCAAACTCGGGTCCTTGGGCTTGCAAAGCAGGCAGTGGAACCCCTGAGCTAAATCCCCGGCCCTGAAGAATAGAAATTTTGATGAAATTCAATTTATCAAATTTTTCTTCTTTTATAGTTCTGGGTTTCCTTAGTAAATGAGTCTTTGACTGCCTCGACAGAGGCTTTCTTCTAGAAATTTTAGTTTTATGTTTTACATTTAGGTCTATGATCTATTGGAATAAAACATATATACTTCAAGAAATGGTACAAACACTCTCCTCCTGTCTTTTTGCTGTTATTTTGTACATGGATATCCAGTAATTTTAGTGCCAACTGGAGATGATGTTTCAGTATCATTTGTTGAAAACACTATTTGGCGTTTCTGTTGAAAAGGTGTATGTCACCAGGCCTGTCGTGGATTCTAATAGGTCTGTTGATCATTGTGTCTTTTTGCCAATACAATACTGACTTGATGGATAACTCTACAGGAACTCTTGAAAGCAGGCACTGTGAATTCTCCTAATTATTTATGTGGTTTTTAAAACAACATCTTGCTATCTTCGTCCAGGCTGGCCTAGAGCTTGCCATGTATGTAGCTCAGGCTGGCTTCAAACTTGTGGTTCTCCTGACTCAGCCTCTCAAGTGCTAGAGTTACAAGCAAGGGCCACCACACTCCACTCAAATTTACTCTTTTTTAGAATAGTTTGTCTAATCTAGAGTCTTTTCCATATAAATTTTACAATCAGCCTTTTGACTTTTTCAAAATAATACTGCTGGAATTAAATGATATTATGTATAAATTGTAGGTTAATTTGGGAAGAATTAACAGTGACAATATCAAGAAATATTAACATGTAAGACTTATATGTATTTTTATGAGATTGATTCCTATTTTATGTTTTTGGTGCTATTGTAAATAGTATTTCTAAATACCAATTTAAAATTGAAATTGTATCTATTTCTAGTTTAGTATTATATCTTCTCTTTTTTTTTTTTTTGGTACCAGGGATCGAACTCGGGTCCTTTCGCTTGCAAGGCAGGCGGTGGAACCACTGAGCTAAATCCCCGGCCCTAGTTTAGTATTATATAAAAATACAAATTATATAGAAGTTATACTGTCATTTGTATCTTATAACTATGCTAAACTTGTTCATTAGATCTAGTGGATTTTTTAAATGTATATAAATTCCTTGAGATTTTCTTTTAGGTCAGTCATATATTTTATAAGGATTGATCAAAAATTATAATGTGTGTTTAAATAGAAAAAAAAATACCATGATAGCAAGGTGTGTTAGCATATCCCTATAATCCCTACACTCTGGAGTCAGGTAGGAGGATTGTCACAACTTTGAGGCCAGCCTGTGCTGCATAGTGAGTTCAAGGGAAGCTTGAACTACACAGCAAGACCATCTCAAAAAAAAGTTATCGTTGTAAAAGACACATTACCATCAATCCCCCCTTTCAAAATGCTCCTCCAAACTTCAAACACACATATCCCATCATTCTTGCCACTTTTGAAGTAGTTCTGCAAGTCCTTTTTCATGGGTGCCTTTAGGAGGTGTGATAAAAAACATGATGATCTGCTGCCAAGTGCCATTCAGTGGAAAGACAGGCTCCTAAAATCATCACAATGTGTCCTCATCTTACTTTTTCATCGGATCTGGATCTTCCCCAAAGCCAAATGACCACAAAAGATGAATGTTTTTAGTTAATTCGGAGCATCAAGGCAGCCACAACAGCACAACTACAGACACAAGAAAGGACTTTCAGAACTGTTCAGAAAGTGATAAGAATGATGGAATAAGTGCATTCGAAACAAGGGTGAGTATTTTGAAGGGAATTAATGGCAATGAGTCTTTTTTTTTTTTTATTTGTAAAATTTAACATTCACCACAGGTTTTGGCCACACCAGTCACTGTGCAACTTCCGGCTCTTCCCACAGTCAAAATGGCCGAGAAAGGCCAACATTTTCGAATCCATTCAGGACATGGAGGCAGCCAC